CTAACATCTGGTTCTGATAAGCGTTTTGACGCGAAACTCTGGAGTCAGTCAATACGATAAGTCAACTGAGCATTTTATTGATTTATTGAATCTCTCTCTCTCTCTCTATATATATATATATGCATGCAGAATACCTGCCAAATATATCGACACTGCCAAAAATGAAAAACATGCCTTCCGTAGTTTTTAGACTTTTACATATGGGACAACCTAAAGGATGTTTTGTTTCGCATTAGGCGGTCGTTAGACAAGAAAATAAAAAATGTATTTGCAGCAATCCCATTGGACTCTTTGGCCAGCATTGCCCAGCAGCAGCAGTTCGCCATACTGCTAAATGTCTGGAATCTAAAGGTTACCATTTTGACCATCTCTTGTGAATGTAGAGTCCAAAGGTAACTTATATTAATATCGTGATGTCTGAATGAATTTAGTATTACAATATCTATACAGGTTTTCCCTTTCCTGAAGTGCATATAAACTTTTAGCGGACTCTCTAATATCTATATATAATCTCCAAGGTTTACACGAGCAGCTCTAAATAGAGTCTGTCCAAAAACAGCCTTTTGGCATAAAAGTGCTCGATGCCACAAGAAATGGAAAAGCTTTTGAATATTAATTCAAATAACCAGGTTAGCAGTGACTGGCCACTATTATTAGTTTCAGGTACTTTCACACAATTATCAGGTCGCCAGTGACTTGTAATAAGATGAATACACTATATACCACCAGGCGAGTTCAATTTGACAAGCAAACCAAACTCGCACAGTGGGCGGGGGGGGGGAATCATCCAGCCAAGATCTAAAATAGCAAAACAGCAACAAAACAAAATCCCACCTGGAAAGGCTTGCCAGTATAGCAAAAAAGTGCTCTATAAAGTGAAACTAGTTCCACTGTACAGGAGCTGACAACTTAAATATATATATATATATATATATATATATATATATATATTGTAAAAAAAGAGGAGAAAAACTATTTATGTCAGTTACGGTTGATGGAGTGAAGCAAAGTCATCTGCCGTAGATTGAAGTTTTGAATTTCCGAGCAAAGAGACTTTTCAAATAAACAACCGTGCGGTACAATCTTCCCGTTGATTTAAGTGAATAATTGTAAAATCTGTATTTCATCAAATGGCATGAACATCTGTTAGGAGTTGAAATGACACTAAAAATATTTTATGACTGAATGTAAATGAGAAGGCTTAGAGAAATGAAGATATTGACACAGAGAGAGACGGAGAGAGAAATAGACAGACGGAAGCATAGATAGATCAATAAATCAGAAGACATGAAAAACAGCGAAGAAAAGTATTAAGAAACAGGCAAATTTCATTAGAAACTAAGAGAGTACTGAACTTCTACGTAATACCATTCCTCCTTATATATATGATAGTGAATACTGAACAGTCTCCTCACAGATGAAGATGACGAGATTTGAGCTAACAGAGATGTGGTTCTGCGGTAGGGTCCTAAGTATACCATTGATGGCGTAACAAGGACATCTGAAAGAAAATGGAAGTTAAAAGGGTACTCAAAATCAGAAAGAGAACTGAAATTTCTGGAACATATAATGACAAAAAAGACTTGGGAAATCGTTACTTAACGATCTTTTTTTTTTTTTTAAATCGATGGCAGAAGTACTGGGAACGATGTTAAGGTGACAAACTACGAAGGATAGGAAGTAGTTGCAAATTTATCTGCGGTCTTAGTGGTTGGAGATCAAAGTGAAATAAAGAATATTTTGTAGGCTAACACGCACGCACGCACGCACGCACGCACACACACACACACACACACACACACACACACTGCAAGTTTGAATGTTTGAACCGTATAATGAATAACGACTCGAAATCGGAGAGCAGAGTTCAAATCCCAGTCGCCTTATATACTCTTACGCGCAAATACTCTTGGGAAATCTAGAAATTCACCTCTTCTCTCGCCCAGCTATGAGTTAATTAGTAGGACTTGAATCAGTAAATCAAGTTTATCACCAAAAACATCTTAAAATCTAAAAATTCTTTCTGCCTTTAAATAACCTGTAAAAAGGTTGATAAGGCGTAAAAAGCACAAGCAGTGCATGTTTACTTAATCTTTCCTACTCAATTGCTCCACCTTCCCCGTATATTTGAGAGCATTTCTAATAAAATTATACTGTGTTTGGGGTTATTTTGTTTTACGGTATACCAACCATAATAAGTTATTTAATACAGACAAGATACTTAAAATAGATTTGTATAAATAGAATATATATGAAATCAGTTTGTAGATCAGGTTACACTGACGTATTTTGTAAAGGATTTTGTCGAGAGTCAAATATATTACTGGTAATATTTTTTTTCAAAAATGTATTGCTGGTAATTTTCTTTTTCAAAAAGGTATTGTCAGAAATATTTTTCGAAAAGGTATTGCTGTAGTTTTCCTATAAAAATCTACTTTGGTACTTGTGTTTTGATCCCAGTTTAATTATTTGCCCATAGATGGGACCCCAAAAGATGTTACCACCCCGGGTCAAGATGTACGTGGGAACAACAGCAACTAATAGTTGAATTAACGGTCCTCAAAACCTCCCGATTAGAGGCTTTGAAGTCGGGTGTAGTTTATCATCATACGGGTACATATTCGGGCTTACTAACATAGTAATGTATTTCTCAATGGTACCAGGTGGATGAAGTTCAAATCCTAATAAATGTAAGAATTTTGATTTTCAAGACAAAGAGGTAGATAGGCAGACCTTTCTCACTTGGAACAATGGTGCAGCACAATCTTACCATGTTTATTTGGCCCATCCTTAACTGTTCTCTCTACGTATTTGTTTGTAGTAATGCGTTAGATATATATTTTAATTCCCAAAGCACATAGTAAAGCATAAAATAAAGGTAAAGCAACAGATTGGGGATATCTCTACGGCAGAAATATGCGTAGATTTTTCTTTGATATCTTCTTCAAAGAAAAAAAAAACATGATAGGAAATGCTTTTCAAACGGTGACGTATATTTTTCTGTGGCGTTCACTTTTCAACAGAAAACAATTTTTATGTTGTTTCCTTCTCCTTCGCTGGCTATTTCTACAAAATGCCAGAGAAGCGGCAATAATAGCTTTGATGTCTGTATTCCTCGAAAGAATTTTCAGCCTTTTCAGGGTTCTTTACTGCCAGCAAGGCAATTACTGTCGTCATCCCAAGGAGAAGGTAAATAACTAAAAGAAAAGAAAAGAAAAGAAAAAGAGAATAAAACTGAAAAAATGGGAAAAGAAGAAATTGCCTTTGGTTATTTAAATCTGAGAACACAAAATTTGATTAAAGTTCCTGATATTAAACAACCCCTGGAATCTTGGAGAAAAATTCAATTTGCAAGTAAGCGAAAATTATTATTATTATTATTATTATTATTATTATTATTATTATTATTATTATTATTTCTTTTTCAATTTTGATGAATTAAAAAATATTATTTATCATGACACGCCGTTTAAGATTTTAAATTAGAAAAAATTGTGAAAAAATAATGGACAAAAGAATTTAAAATAATTATAAAAACATCTATCTATCTATCTATCTATCTATCTATCTATCGCAGACTGTTAATATCTATCTATCTATCTATCTATCTATCTATCTATCTATCTATCTATCTATCTATCTATCGCAGACTGTTGATATCTATCTATCTATCTATCTATCTATCTATCTATCTATCTATCTATCTATCGCAGACTGTTGCTATCTATCTTTCTATCTATCTATCTATCTATCTATCTATCTATCTATCTATCTATCTATCTATCTATCTATCGCAGACTGTTGATATCTATCTATCTATCTATCTATCTATCTATCTATCTATCTATCTATCTTAGACTGTTCATATGTATCTATCTATCTATCTATCTATCTATCTATCTATCTATCTATCGCTGACTGTTAATATCTATCTATCTATCTATCTATCTATCTATCTATCTATCTATCTATCTATCTATCTATCGCAGACTGTTCATATCTATCTATCTATCTATCTATCTATCTATCTATCTATCTATCTATCTATCTATCGCAGACTGTTCATATCTATCTATCTATCTATCTATCTATCTATCTATCTATCTATCTATCTATCTATCTTAGACTGTTAATATCTATCTATCTATCTATCTATCTATCTATCTATCTATCTATCTATCTATCTATCTATCAAGCAAGTATGTCCACAAGCAAAGCGACAGATAGACAGATATATGAAACATTTTATTACGATCCAAATGACGTACCCCTCCACAGAAAACAAAAACATTCTGTAAACATTTAGTAAAATATCAAGAATTTGTCGGATGGAGAACTTTACAGCATCCTTTCGTACTACATCCCCCCCCCCACATTCCCCCATAATATCCCTCTCCCTATATTCCTCCCCTTATATCCACCTACATGATGGAGATATGTCCCAAAACTCTCACCAGATGTCGGAAACTGCGAATAATATACGATAATGATGGTGACGTTACTTATAAACACATTACATACTATTTGGCAGAAACAGAGAGCTTGACAAGAATAATTCATAATAAAATAGAATAATTATAGTGATACATTACCATAAAAAATATGTAACAAAGATTCTTTCTAACCATCGGTTTTAGCAATCTATGTTCTCTGTTAACAGTTTCTTTCCTCGTGTTTCTTACTTGCGGAACCTGATCTTCAAAAATTTAAATGCAATGTCAATCCTCATATATATTAATTGATTTGTTTTTTAACGGCTTATCAGTATTGGTTAAAGCCAAAAATTACATGTAAGACGTTTTGAAGATAATAATGATTTTTTTTTTACTATTACAAGTTATACTAATTAACCCCTAGCTGGGGGAGAAGAGGCGGATTCATACCTTTTCCAAGGGTATTTGCGCGTACGTGAATATAATGAACACGATTTGAATCGGAACTCCGTTATCCGATTTTCAATTCTGATCTCTTATCCATTACACCAACAGGACATCCAAGCTTGAAGCACCTGGTATTCTCAAGCTGTCACCTATCTAGGTACTGGCCAGGCTCGGCGTTGCTTAACTTCAGTGATCGTACGAGAATTGGTGTTTTGACGGCCATCTATTTCTTTATTTCATGTCCTTTTCTTTTTTACTGGCCTTTCTCCTTAATAATGTTTTTATATTTTTGGACTCTTTCACCCTACTCCTTGTATCTTAGTGGTTTTATAGCCTTGATTAAAACAACTCAAAATACAATATTTATTTCCTAAATGAGTCAAGAACTCTCAAGTTCTCACTTGAAAATGTTTTCTTAATCGATTAGAATTAGGATTAGAACATAAACGCTACGTAAATCGGTTTTATCATAACATTTATACTTTAGTAGCTTAAAAGCTGCACTCCGGCCCCAAATTAAAGTGACCTCTCGTTCAGCATAGAAAACAGCAAGGGTAATTTTGAAGAAATAACCTTGAATTACTCAATTCACTCCATAGAACTTCTAAACCTCACTTTAACTCTGATAAGTCCAATTCCGGCCAAAAGACTGATTTTTCCGAAATTCCACATCAGGCCAAAAATTGAGTTCTTCAAATTACAAAATCTGCGGATCTTTAAAACATCAGTCACGAAACCTCTCACCTTTTTGAAGGAATAAAACTGAGTTCCTCAATTCGCAAAGTTTGGGAGATATTTTAAACTGAATTTAAGATTTTATATTCTCAAAGATTTTGCGTAAATTTAAACTCAATATAAATTAATAATTTAAAAATAATTAATTTCTTTTAGTGATTTTAAAATTTGAATTTTTAACTTTTCTCTCCTCATCCAGACACAAATCACAATGCTGGATGTTCAAACAACAGACGAAGGGCATGTTTTCAATACCTGGATCATCCGGATTTCAACAAGGTATAATATGGCTATGTAGAGCAAGTGTGGCCCAAGTTAGAAGAGTTTCAGACACACAGACAGAGAGAATTTGGCTTTTATTTGTTTAGATTATAAAGATGCTAAATTAACTTTCAGGTAATAAGTACAGTTTCTATTAACGAACACCGGCACAGATGTTGCTAGATATACACTGCGTGCCAAATTATTATCGAGATAACTTTTTTCTAATATTTCAAAAACCGTCCAATCAATTCACACACAATTTTCACACAATGTTGGCAATTTTCGTACTGATCTGCGCAATGTAAACAAACTGGCGCCATATTTGTTATCAGCACGGTGATTTGAGCGTGCCAAATTATTATAAAAGTGTAAGAATTTAGTGAAAAGATGGGTTGTAAAAACAGTTTAAGTGATGCTGAAAAGAAAACTATCACCTCAGAACTCTCAAAAGGTAAATCTACCCTAGAAATTTCTAAAATGATAGGAAGGTGTCATCAAACAATGAAAAAGTTCACCGCCGACCCTACACAAGTACGCAAAAGGGCAGATAAAGGCAAGCCGAGGGTTATTTCACGTCGTCTCATGTCACAACTTAAACAAGAGGCCACAAAGAACCCTGAACTTACCAGTCAAGAGCTTTTCAGTCGCATTGGGGATCCTACTGTGTCTAAAAGTACTCGGTGTCGGTATCTGAGGGAAATAGCAACAACAGTCAAACCTTTATCGAAGCCTCCGTTGACGAGAAATCACATTCAAAATCGATTGAAATGGGCCGAGGACAATATGAAGATTGACTTCTCTAAAGTTTAGTTCACAGACGAAACTCGAGCAACACTTGATGGGCCAGATAGATGGTGCAAAGCCTGGGTAATGAACGGACAGAATCGCCATCATCGTTTGAGACGCCAACAAGGCGATGGAGGCATAATGATCTGGGGTGGTATTATTGGAAAAACATTAGTGGGCCCATGGGGAGTACCAGATGGCGTCAAAATGACTGCTGATGCATACATAGCGTTTATGAAGGCGCAGGTCAGTGTTGCTAACATTGTGGGAAAATTGTGTGTGAATTGATTAGACGGTTTTTGAAATATTAGAAAAAAAGTTATCTTGATAATAATTTGGCACGCAGTATACAATGTGCGATGGGTAAATTGTTGCCTTTTTATATTTTTAATTTTGCACATGTGAGTTGTTTTTTTTTTTTATCGACTGCACAGTATAGTAGGGTCATTTGGGCACCATCTGTAAGAAAAAGAGCACCATTACAGAATTCATTCCATCAGAAATTTGGAAATGGCATGCTGTACTGCTTGGCATTCGTGCCGGAAGCTCCAATACGAACATTTCAGAGTGCTTTAGTGTCAATCTGAGGACAGTGGAGAGGATTCGGGAAGAGTTTGATGAGTCTAATGGTGATTATGAACGTGTTTAGAGTGATTACTAGTGATGGCATCATTATGCTGCCATTCCTGTTCCCACAGGGCCTCAGAATCAACACTGAGGTCTATATCAACTACCTTGAGGGGATAGTGCTGTCCTGGGTTAACAAGGCCGTGCTTGAAGCCAATACTGATTTTAGTGAATAAATTTACTCTTTAGTATTTCAAAATATTTTTGTGTAATTTTGGTAAATACATCTGTTAAAATGATATGACAATGTTATTTTCATTTTTGCGTCATTTAGATGACAATTTATCCATCACACACGATTGTTGTCTTCTTGAAATCTGAGGAGGACTAATGGGTTACGCATTCAGCGTCTCTGGGTAGATGACTTTTATAGTCATATGCGTAGATACGGTTGCAAGCATTGCAAGAAACACTGACTGTGGGAGTAGGATTGGATGCATTCCTGTCACATTCTTGGCTTGCCTTGAGCCGTTGTATTCATTGGTTGGCTTGAAAATTGATCGCTGCCTTGGAACAAAGATTGCGCCATATGGATCAACCAGCAGCAGTCTGTTAGAGATCATGGGGCTGGGATTTCGTTCACTTCAGATTTGACTTGAGGTTGTCATTGTACCTCTTACTTAGGGAACTTGGCTGCAATTGCTTCAATTTTCCGTAAAATAAACAACGTGGTATTCTGGAGGTATCCGTTACGGATAACACACACACACACACACACACACACACACACACACACACACACACTCTTTTAGTAAGTCAGTTCAAACATGAGAATGGATATATATATATATATATATATATATATTTAGTTCGATTGATGTGAGTTTGTGAGCCTGACTATCGCAAACAGCGTGAAACTCAGGGTCACCAAATCACGTCAATCCAACTAAATATGTTAGCTCTATCACTGATATTGAGCGCTTTGCAATAAGTACCGCGCATAAATAATATATAAATAATATATATATATATATATATAAAATTGCATATATATATATATATATATATATATATATATATATATATATATATATATATATATATATATTTCACACGTTTTATCGTAATGTGGAATTGTTATATACTTTATTCTATATATCTTGCTACACGTAGTTTCGGGTCATGTAACCTTCATCAGGCGAAAAATGGATATTTCCACATATTATTCTTTTTTCTATGTTAAAGTCTTTTAACCATTGGCTTTGTATGTATTAGTAGTCATCCGAACCCATCTTGGACAGACTGAAATATGTTCCTTTGCTTTAGGGGCAATAAAAAAATTAAATTTTGTCAGATAAAGGGAAATAAAAGAAATCTTTGTTCTTATCTTTTTATATCCCCACGTATCCCTTCATTTCTTTCTCTGTATTGCATATGTGCTTGTCAGTATGTACATATATATATTCTTTCACATGCACATATATTGTATTATTACAAGGAAATAGTATATCTATCTATCTATCTATCTATCTATCTATATGTATATATATATAATTTTTATTATAAACTAACTGATTTAAAAATATGGTTCCTTCGCTACACAGGAATTATCGTGTTTCAAAAACAGATATTAAAACTTCAAATTCAATTATTTAACAGAACTAGTACTTTTAATTTAATTAAATAATATATATATATATATATATATATATATATATATGTATATGTGTGTGTGTGTGTGTCCACACTTTGTATAATGTATACGGTTTGTGTGTGTGCGTGTGGTCCGTCGTATGTTTGTTTTTGCCATTATGTATGTATATGTTCGTACTCCATATTATATATTATATTATTGTAAGGAAACATATATAGTGATTACATACATTTTGTGGGGAGTGTGTGTGTGTGTGTGTGTGTGTGTGTGTGTGTGTGTGTTTTGACACTGTGATGAAGAGTTTTATAAATTTCAGCAGTGAGTAACACTGTTCGGTCAATGAATGCCGAATGTTTTCAGCATAGAAATTTCTATCCAACCATCATAATTATCATTCGCTTTTTTTCAACTGCTAAACCCTCTGGTGCACCGGCCTTCCTTGATGTCTGTTGTGAATTGCTTTTAATGTCTGTTGCGGCATCATTCTCCATATTTATTGCACTACTATGGCTATCATAGTGTGCATTGCTATTTAACTTATAGATGGATCTGCCACTTTTTCAAGAGCATAATGCGAAATGAATGTAACAGTCTCGATTAGAATTTGAATTTGGTACACCGATTTCCATTTCCGCGTGGATAACAATTGCGCATTACCTGCACATTGCGATAAGCTACAATTCAGGAAACGTGACTATCTTGGTCCTTTTGAGTTAACGTTTTGAGGAAAGGTCATCAACATCGATTTTATTATTGAAGAGAGAAGTAGATGGTGCGTTCGGCTTAAAAATTCAAATTCCCAGCAGCAAAGAATTGTAAATGTCGATGCATAACTACGTTCGTTTTCTTTTGAAGTGGAAGTTACACGTCTGCTTCCAAAGTTTAATCGAATTTTTAACCATAAAATAATTTTGGATGTAATTCGAGGAAACAGAATCATTTGAACTTAAACTATTTTACAGGGTGATTGCTTTTAAATAATCTACCGAATCGACAGTGTGAATTACACGCTTTTAAATCCACAGGTCAGCGACATTTCTACACTTTTTTTAAAATTTTTCCCCCTTTTTTAACTTTGAAATATTTACGGAAACTTGTTCATCAAAGAGAAAGGGTTAAATATGACATTCCCTAAATTCTTTCTTTCGTTTTGGTTACAATTTCTTTGAGATTTATAAAGTCGCGCCATTTCTATTTTTCCAATTTATTAT